TTATGCTGTGATGGGCCTGTAGGTTGCCTCTGCTTCTGGTCCCTTACAAACAGCGTTGCTCTGAATTCTCCAACACATCCATTGGAGCACATACACGCATTCATACCTAAAAATGGATTTCTTGGTCATAGAATGTGAATTCACCCTTTATCTTGCCAAATTGTTTTTTTGGTCATTTTTGCCAATGTACACACTCACTAGCTGCATATGAGGGTCCTGGTTGTTCTTCACTCTTGCAAACCTTTGATGATTTATCAGCCCTTTTAGTTTTAGCCAATCAGATGGTTGGTGTAGGAGTATCCCACTATGAGTTGCATTTCCCTGACTACTACGGAAGGTGAGCGATTTTTTCATATGCTTCTTGGCCACTAGGATTTGCTCCTGCGTTAAGTGCTTAATCAAGTATTTTGTCCATTTTTCTGCTGGGCTGTCTGTCTTTCCTTGTAGCAGTTCTTTATATATTCTAGATATTAGCTCTTTCTTGGATATGAGCAATACAATATCTGTCTCCTCTCCTTGATTTGCCTTTTTCATATATATATATTTTTTAGAGAGAGAGAGAGTGCTGGGGGGAGGGGCAGAATGGAAACCCATCTCACAACCTTGAGATCATGACCTGAGCCGAAATCAAGAGTCGGATGCTTAACCAACTGGGCCACCCAGACCCCCCTCTTTTCCATATCTTTTGATGAACAGAAGTCCCTCTTTACCTCTAATAGTACATATATTATTAAAAGTAGCTAACACATATGGTGACTCTCAAATGCCAGACACTGTTCAAAATAGTCTGCATAGAATAATTCATTGAATCTTCATAATGACCAGATCAGGGAACTCCTCCAAGTAATCCTCAGGTTTCTCAGGTGAGGAAATTGAGTCAAGGTGACATTAAGTGGTGGAGTCAGAAATTCAAACAAGAATCTCCAAGATTATTCCTTAAAAGGAGGACAAAGAAGGGTGACTTCTCCATTATCAGACTGTGACAATTGAATTGCAATGAACAAATACATCTACGTACAAGACAGAGAGGCCAGACACAGATACTGTACAAGTGGGAATCTAAATATAATGGAGTTGGTGCACTAAACTGGTGGGGGGAAATGTACTATTTTTGAGAGAAAAAAAATAGAACTCTACCTCATACCACTTACATAAATTTGAGGTGGATTGCAGACTGAAGATTCAAAACAGAGCTTTAACAGAGAAAATATTGAAGAATGTCTTTTTGAACTCAGGGTGAAAAAAATGTCTTAAAGAACCAAAAGCGCTATGATAGAAGTATCAGGTATATTTAACTGATTCCGATGTCATGACTCTGATGGTTAATTTTATGTGTTGATGTGATTGGGCTAGAGATGCTCAGGTAGCTGGTGAAGAAATTATTTCTGGGCGTGTCTGTATGTCTGTCTCAGGAAGAGATTAGCATTTGCATCAGTAAACTGAGTAAAGATCACCTTCACCAATACAGGTGGGCTGATCCAAGCCATCAAGAGCCGGAATAGAACAAAAGAGCAGAGAAAATGTAAATTCAGTCTCTCTGCTTGAACTGACACATCATCTTTGCCTGACCTGGGACATCAGACATAGGTCCTTCTGGCTCCCAGGGTTTTGGACTGTGAAAATTAGTAATGGGAAACCTCACTAAAATGGAGTCGGGGTGGAGCTGGGGGGAAATTGGCAGGGGGAGCTCTCATGCCCTACCACTCATGTCAATTACAGACCCAACAGAACAGACAGACTTGACCTTATAGTCCATCTTGCAGGTGGGTACTACTGCATTCTAGCTGGGAGAAGAGACACTTTCCTCATCTCAGGCAAAAGCTCAGCCAATGAAAAGCCACCACATTTGAAACTTCCAGTTTATTCCAGTGCACTTTTAGTTTATAACAGCTTTCCCAACTTGCCCTTTCTCCTTAAAAAAGCGTGTCTCTCCATTGTTCCCGGACTTGCCTATGGTTTTGCCCCGGCTTGTTTGTCCCGGACTGCAATGCTCTTTTACTCCCAAATAAACCCATCTTTTGCTGCTAAAATAACTGGTTTTTATTTTTAAGGTTGACAAGACCCAGATTCAGTCTTAAACCATTAGCTCCCAGATTCTCAGGACTTTGGACTCCTGCTGAATCACACCACCGTATTTCTGGTTCTATAACTTGCAGAACATCAATCTAGCAGACACAGGATTTCTTGGCCTCTGTAACAACATCAAATCCTATAACAATAAAAACTCTTCATATGTGTATTTATGTGTTTCTCTTCAGAACCTTAACTCAATGACATAAAAAAATTAAAAAGAAATTACAGTCTAGAAGTTTTTCACCATAAAAAAAAGACAATGAATTAGTATCCTGAATGTCACAAAACTTCTACAAATCAATAAAAATAAAAGTCAACCCCCCAAAATTGGTAATAATACATACACAGACACAAATCCAAATGGCCAATAAATATGAAAAGATGTGCAGGATTACTAGCATTGAGAAAAATACAATGAGATACTAGTTTTTACTCATCTATATTAGGAATAATAAAAGCATGTGATGATTTTTTAAATGGGCCAAGATATGGGGAAACCAGAACTCTCCCACACTGCCAGTGGAGATATAAATTGGGAGGCCAATCTGACTGTTCTAAGAAAGTTGAAAACGAACATAAATACAACCCAGTAATTCTATTTCTTTGTACAAAGCTGTTCAGTAAAGCATTGTTTGAATTAACAAATATTTGGAAATAATCTTGTTGTCCATCAACAAGGGAATGAATAAAATAAAAATCTATACCAGATCTAGTTTACTTTGTTGGCCTGACTAAGATCTACATATAGCAATGTCTTTAGAGTTTGTAAATGTCATATTGACTTTTTAAAAAGGTAATGGGATAAAAACCACATGTGCCATGTTACCATTAGCTGCATATGCTTTTGTCCATAAACTTGAATATACATTGAACTCATGATTGTTATTTCTCAGCAGTGAAGAGAGGCCTAGGAGAGATCATGGTGTGAGAACAAAAGTGGTATTATCCTGGCCTTTATACAATTGTTATGATGGATGCCCCTGGTTTTTCCAAGATTGAGTATAGGAAAAACTTATTGGACATGGAGAAACAGCTGGAGAGGGGTGTCTTTTATTGAGAAGAGTGGTCCAAACTGAGTGTCCAGATTGAGTGCGTTGACAAAAAATAAAATAGAATTTTGAATAAAATTGCTTGAAGAAGCCCCTTCAACACCACCCAGCTCCCAGTCCTTTCACGAATACTAGTTTAGAAAACAGTATACCGATACAGCTAAATTATATTCTTAACATTGCTCATCCTTATTGAGCCAGAGAAATAAAAATATATGAAAATAACTGAGTGAAAACATAGGAGTGCAATGGGAACAATATATTCTGAAAATCATTTTTGTTTCTTCCCCTTCTAACTGTCCCCACCCTTTTTAATGTTAGGCTTCCCAGAGCATCTATCTGCCAGGGGAAGAGATTGTGATATTCCTGAAATATTATGAGAATTTCAATTTCTAAAATTAAAAGTAGGAATATGAGCCAGGTATTGACCTTGGACTTTTTAGAATTCTTTTCTCTGTACTGCTGTACCCATGATTGATCTATGCTGAAAGACAAAAAACCCTCAAGATCTGAGTTGCTTCTCACGTAGAAGTTTATTCCTTGCTCATGTAAGATCTACTTCGGGTCCAGTTGCACTCTCAGGCTACTCCCTTCCCAGGGGTTCTGGTCAACCTCCATCCTGGGCTTCTACTCTCTCAATACCTGCCTTCAACTCCTTTCCACTCAAGCATCTCCCTCCCATCTTCCACCATGCTGGGGCTCCCCAAGTTCAGCCTCTCAGCCTCAGTTTTCTAAAGAGTACACTTCCATCTCCTGTGACATTCGGAAAGACAAAGTTGCCTCGCTGCCTGGTGTAGAAACGAGACACGGCTTCTTGCTGCTCTTCGATCCAACTTCAAACCAACACTACCTTGTCATAACTCTGGCCTTCAGGTTTATGTGGGGCTTCAAATTCCAGAGCTCTACTGAAATTTTGTGGGGGAGAGCTAGACGGAGGGGAGTGGTGGTTTGCTTCTCTGAAATGTTTCCTTCTGTAGCCAAGCCATCATTTTTGACTTCTAAGATTTATCCTGAGTTTTTCCACTTGTGTATTTTCAATACTGACATCGAAATGATCACATCTCATTGCTATTACTTAGCTCTTCTACTTCTCCTGCCCCCGCATTGTCACAGAACAACTAAGCTGATTGTTTAAATATATAAAGCACAGCATGTCAAGGGCTGTTTCAAACTTCCAATGCCTTCTCATTTCAAGTTGAAAAAAATTCAAATTCTGGATATGAACCATGAGGGCCTGCATACCCTGGACTCCGCCTCTCTCCTTCTTCCACTCTATGCTCAGTCACAAAGAGCTTTCTTTCTCTCCCTGAGAAACCTTAAGTTCCATGTTAGGTCAATTACAAAGATGGCTTCCTCTAAGTGAAATCAGCTCCAGCTTTCCATTGAGTCAATTGGGTCTTGGAAAAGGTCTACTGCTTAATGCAACTTCCCCTGACTACTGGAACCCAGGCCACTCCTGCCCATTCTGCTCTAGCATCCCATCCCCTTCAGTTTCTTCACAGCATAGAGTACCAGGTGAAATTATCTTGTTCATTCATTTGTGTGCATGCTTACTGGGATGAATCAATGAATTTGCTATGTGAAATATGCATACAGCATTGAAAAGGCAGTGTAGACTTGGGGGGAAGATATTCGGATGATGGCACGTTAGTCCTTGGCATGCTTGTGTCCCAGGAACTCGGGTGCTCCTACCCAGCAAAGCACCAGGTGCTTCCTACAAATCATCCTTAAGGTAGGGCTGCAAACCAAATCCCCTGCACCCACCCAGTCAGCTAGTGCCCAAGAACCATACACCAAACTCATTCATCAACACCACACAATGCAGCCAGCCAATAAAAATCAGTCTTGCTTAAAATGTTTTAATATAATTATCAAGAAAAGTACAGAAGAGAATAACCTCCACCCCTCAATTGGTTGAATGGACAATATTTATTAGAAACAAAGTCAGATTTGAACATTTTGGTTATCTTTAATATATTTGTGAACAAATACTGGTGATAACACATATTGAATACATCAAAGACTCAGAAAGATGATAAATTATTTTCCGAGCCTCTACTGACCCATTTGGTCAAAAGAGCCTAGTTTTTCAAGGATGGGGTAAGGGAGGTGGGAGAGGAAAGCGGGGGAGATTGAGGAGAACCAAAACCCAGCAGCATTCATAGTTGACCCAGAGGATAGGAGTCTGGGGGAGATGAGGCTCTGGCCACCTCGGCAGGACCCAGCTCAGAGACACAAGAGTGCCTAGTGGATGAAACCTCAGCTGGTGACATGGGATTCAGCAGTGTCCAAAGACATTCCAGGGTCTGGCAGAAAGAACAAACTATGGCGAACTTGGTAAAGAACATGGACTCAACGCATCAGTGGCAACATCATAGGACTCTCAAGCAAGACCAGCGACCTGCAAGCTCGCCCAAAGCTCTGACGTAAATGTGGCCAGTCTCAAGGAGCCTCCACACACAAGAGCAGTGGGTTACAAAGGTGTCCCCTGCGATTAGGGGACAAGGGCACAGCTGGACCCGGAAGCCTCAGCCGCTCGCCGGAGCCCAGGGCTTGGTGGTGCCGGCTTGTCCATCCAGCCTCCATCCACAGGAAGGGGCTGAGCCTTGCAGTGCTGAACTGCGTGCCCTGTTCCCACCGACAGGCGCCTCTTGGCCCGGGCCTGGATGCTAGGCCCCTGAGCACCCTGTTCCCGAGGACGACGACCAGGACCACACCTGCCAGTGGGGGGCTGGAGATCTGGGGCAGAGGGGTTGGGGGGCGGTGGCCGGATGGGGCCAGACCCCCGGGAGGTGCGGGCGGGGACAGCCCCGGACTGGGCATCAGAGGAAGAGCTCTGCGCGGGCAAGGGGCGCGCGGAGGCCGGGCGCAGAGGGGTGCGGCGGCGGGTGCCCGGGCCAGCGGCCACAGGCCGCAGGGCGCGCGGGGCGCGGCGCGGAGGGAGGTGCCTCAGGCCCAGCGCGGCTCTCCCGGGGGCGCGCACCTCCCTCCAGGCGCGCAGCTCCCGGCTGCCCGGCGCCGCGGGCTCCGTGTGGTCCACGGCAGCCCGGTCCTGCCCGCGCTTCCACAGCTCATAGCGCTCGGGCTGCAGGATGCGCACGAAGGCGTCCATGGAAAAGGTGACCCGGGCCTCCCCGCAGCTGCACTGGGAGGCCACCTTGCCATAATCGATCCAGCGCGGGGTGGCGAAGTTGATGGCTTCTGCGCAGTTGAAGCCATGGTTGAAGCCGGAGTGGTAGCCATAGGGAAACGTCACCATGAACTCGCCAGCCTCCTGCGTGATCCGACTGAAGGGGATCCCGTTGTCCTTGAGGACGGTGGGCGAGATGAGAGCCACCTTGTGCCGCAGGAAGGCCTCGCAGGCGCGGGCGCTGCCCGGGAAGAGCTCCGTGGCCAGGCGTTCCAGGCGCTGGCCGTGCTCTGGGGGCACCGCGTACCAGGTTTTGGGCTCCCCGAAGTGCAGGTAGTTGATGCTGTAAAGGTCCATGTCCTCCGTGTGCCAGGCGAAGGTGGTCTTCCACATGCCAAAGTACAGGTAGGGGGTGTTGACGCCCTCGATGACCACGCCGCACTCCTGCTCCAGCAGGTCCTGAATGGTTCCCAGGTGTCCAAGGTTCCACTCCTTCGTGTTTTCGTCAAACAAGGAGCCGCTGATGTCAGCGCCATAGATCGGAGAATCGTAGAGACGGGTTTTCCAGTATTTTCGCTCCAAGTCCTCAAAATCCGAGTGTGGTGGAGTCCGATACTTTCTGCCGTTCGCCAAATGGCAATACTCCCCCACTGTCATGGCTTTCTTCTTTTTATGGTACTGAGTAAACACACCTGCCTGCCCGGAGACCACCTGCTGGAGGGGAGTGGCTATTAAGATGTCACTGATATCATCGTAGGTCTGTCTGGCTTTCCATTCCTTGGGTGGAATCACCTTGGCGAGGCCGGCTCGGTGTGCGCCTTGGGATTCCATGTAAGCAATGTATTTATCAAAATCATTAAACTCTTCTTTGGTTGGATGAAATATCATTATGGTACAACTCGGGTTCTGAGCACAGTTGGCCTTAGACTTCATAGCTTCCATTAATAAGCACCAAACTCCAAAGGTTTTTAGTATGTTCTAGGTAGTTGAGGATGCTGGAAAATGCTACTTTTTAAAAAATGCGTTTGAGTATCTGAGTCACTAAGAACCACCAGTGGACCTTTATGCAAGTGAAATGATAATGTTTGTTAGGCTTGCTGATTCACCAAGGAACAACGCTCTGGGTAGAAGAGTTGCCTAGAACTAACAGTGGCTGAGCCTGTGATGCTCCTCAGTCGGTACCTGGCACTGTTCCTTGGAGGTCTATTGAATCACTCAGTCTTGGGGTGGGTGTCCTAAAGGTTATATCTTCAGGGCAGTGTTTAAACAAAGCCTAAAAGGAAGAACATAAAAAGTTTGAAAATTAATGTTGCAAAAATTATTAGAAAGTTACAAATAAAATACCACTATGGAATATTATTGTACACTCAGAGGAAGGCTAAAAGTTTATAAGATTGACAAAACAAGAGGTGGTGTAGACATGGAACAATGGGAAAGGTCATACTCTAATAAAGAGAATGGAAATTGTTAGATTCACCTTGGAAAACTATTTGGACAGTATATACTAAAATTGAACATCTGCATGTGTAAAATTGAACACATACATGTGATATGACTGTTACCACATGTCTAGGTAATGTGTATGCTCTGCACTGAAAGTCACCTCCAAGAATGTTTATAACAATATAATTTCTAGTAGCCAAATACTGGAAACAACCTATAAGCCCATCAACAGTAGAATGGATAAATACATTATGGTATATTCATACAATGGAATATAATACAGCAATGAAGATTAAAAATTACACAGAAATATAAGAATAACTTTATAATCATTATATTGAGCAAAATCATCCAGACTCAAAAGAATAGCTATTCCATGATTCCATTTTTATAAAGATAAAAATGAGGCAAAGTAATCTATATTAGAAGTCAGAGTAGTGGTTACCTTTGGGAAAGAGAGAGGTTGTGAGTGGGGGCATAAGGAAGCCTCTAGAGTATGTTAATATTCTTGTTTTGAACCTAGGTGCTGGTTACATAGCCATCAGAAGAGCTAACTATGATAATTCATCAAGCTATGATGATTTCCCCAAATTTCCATATGGTTATCTAAAAATAGAGTTAAGGTGCAGCTCAGCCACAATAGTAGGATGCACAGAGCCCACATAGTAGACACCTCTGAAGTGCCTGGTTCTAGTGAACAAGAGGCATTTTGCTATAGGGCACCACAGGACCTCTTCTTTATAGGGTCACCACTTTCCAAGATCAGGAGACATAGCTGACTTTCCTAATACATAGAAAAAGACACAGAGAATTTGACAAAATGAGACAGAGGAATATGTCCCAAATGAAAGAAAAGGACAAAATCTGGAACCAGAAAAGACCCCAAATAGCCAAGGAATGTTGAAAAAGAAAACCAAACCTGGTGGCATCACAATTCCAGACTTCAAGCTCTATTACAAAGCTGTCATCAACAAGACAATATGGTACTGGCACAAAAACAGACACATAGATCAATGGAACAGAATAGAGACCCCAGAAATGGACCCTCAACTCTATGGTCAACTAATCTTCAAAAAAGCAGGAAAGAATATCCAGTGGAAAAAAGACAGTCTTTTCAACAAATAGTGTTGGGAAAATTGGACAGCCACATGTAGAAGAATGAAACTGGATCATTTCCTTACACCACACACAAAGATAAACTCAAAACAGATGTAAGATCTAAATGTGAGGCAGGAATACATCAAAATCCTAGAGGAGAACACAGGAAGCAACCTCTTCGACCTCAGCTGCAGCAACTTCTTCCTAGAAACATCGCCAAAGGCAAGGGAAACAAAGGCAAAAATGAATTATTGGGACTTCATCAAGATAAAAAGCTTTTGCATGGCAAAGGAAACAGTTGATAAAACCAAAAGACAACCGACAGAATGTGACAAGATACTTGCAAATGTCTTATCAAATAAAGGCCTAGTATCCAAAATCTATAAAAAACTTACCAAACTCAAAATGCAAAGAACAAATAATCCAATCAGGAAATGGGCAGAAGACATGAACAGACATTTCTCCAAAGAAGACATACAAATGCCAACAGACACATGAAAAATGCTCCACATCACTCGGCATCAGGGAAATACAAATCAAAACCACAATGAGATACCAGGTCACACCAGTCAGAATGGCTCAGATTAACAAGTTAGGAAATGACAGATGTTGGCAAGGATCCGGAGAAAGGAGAATCCTTTTACACAGTTGGTGGGAATGCAAGCTGGTGCAGCCACTCTGGAAAACACTATAGAGGTTCCTCAAAAGTTGAACATAGAGCTACCCTATGACCCAGCAATTGCACTTCTGGGTATTTATCCCAATGATAAAAATGTAGTGATCCGAAGGGGAACGTGCACTCCAATGTTTATGGCAACAATGTCCACAATAGCCAAACTATGGAAAAAGTCCAGATGTCCATCGACAGATGAATGGATAAAGAAGATGTGGTGTGTGTGTGTGTGTGTGTGTGTGTGTATAGTTAAAAGTAACTCTGGACAGTTTGTTTCTGTTCCTTTTGCCTGGTATACTGCAGGTACTCAATAAATATTCAGTAATTCAGTAAAAAAATAAAATAAAATACCACTATGGAATATTATTGCACACTCAGAGGAAGGCTAAAAGTTTATAAGATTGACAAAACAAGAGGTGGTGTAGACATGGAACAATGGGAAAATGTCACACACACACACACACACAATGGAATACTACTCAACCATCAAAAAAATGAAATATTGCCATTTGCAACAATGTGGATGGAACTAGAGGTTACTATGCTAAGCGAAATAAGTCAACTAGAGAAAGACAAATACTATATGATTTCACTCATATGTGGAATTTAAGAAACAAAATAGAGAATCATAGGGGAAGAGAGGAAAAAATAAAACAAGACAAAATCAGAGAGGGAGACAAACCATAAGAGACTCTTAATCATAGGAAACAAACTGAGGGTAGCTGGAGGGGAGGGGTGTGGGGGGATGGGGTAACTGGGTGATGGACATTAAGGAGGGCACATCATGTAACGAGCACTGGGTATTATATAAGACTGATGAATCACTGAACTCTACCTTTGAAACCAATAATCCATTATATGTTAATTAACTGAATTTAAATTAAAAAATATATAAAAAAATAAGGGACGCCTGGGTGGCTCAGTAGGTTAAGTGTCTGCCTTCAGCTCAGGTAATGTTCCCAGGGTCCTGGGATGGAGTCCCGCATTGGGCTCCTTGCTCAGTGGGGAGACTGCTTCTCCCTCTGCCTGTGCTCTCCCTCTCTCTCTCTCTCTGACAAATAAAATCAGAATTAAACACTTAAGATCCTAAAAAAAAAAGAAATAAAGAAAGGGACAAAACCACAGCAGAACAGCTCAATGAAATGGAGATAGGCAATATGCCTGATAAAGAATTCAAAGTTTAGTGATCATAAAAATACTCAAGGACTTGAGAAGAGAGTGGAGGATCTCAGTAAGACCTTCAACAAAGAGATAGAAAATATAAAAAAGAACCAATCAGAGATAAAGAACTCAATACCTGAAATAAAAAAATACACTGGAGGGAATCAATAGCAGATTAGAGGAGGCAGAAGAGCTGATCAGTAACCTGGAAGACAGGGTAACAGAAAGCAACAAAGCTGAACAGCAAAAAGAAAAAAGAAAAAGAAAAAATGAGAATAGGTTAAGGGAACTCCATGATGTCATTAAGAGTAATAACATTTGTATTATAGGGACCTCAGAATAAGAGAGAGAAAAGGGGGGCAGAAAATTTATTTGAAGAAATAACTAAAAACTTCCCTAATCTGGGGAAGGAAACAGACATCTAGGTCCAGGAAGCACGGAGAGTACCCAACAAAATTAACCCAAAGAGGTCCACACCAAGACATGTAATAATTAAAATGGCAAAAAGTAGGGATAAAGAGAGAATTTTAAAAGCAGAAAGAGAAAAAAAAAAAAAAACCTGTTACATATGAAGAAAACCCCAAAAGGCTATCAGCTAATTTTTCAGTAGAAACTTTGCAGGCCAGAAGGGAGTGGCATGATATATTCAAAGTACCTAAAGAAACAAACCTGTAACCAAGAATACTCTACCTAGCACCATTATCATTCAGAATAAAAGGAGAGACAAAGAGTTTCCCAGACAAACAAAAGTTAAAAGAGTTCATCACCCCTAAAGCAGGCTTATAAGAAAACTAAAGGGAATTGTTTGAGTGGAAAGAAAAGGCCATAATCAGGAATACAAAAATTATAAAAGGAAAAAATTTCACAGGCAAATGCAAACATATAACAAAAGTAGTAGGTTAATCACTTATAAAACTAGTATGGAGGTTAAACCACAAAAACAGTAAAATTAACTAAATCTATAAAAATCAGTCAAGGGATTAACAGAACAAAAGTATATAAAATGTGATATCATATACATAAAACATGGGAGGGGAAGTAAAAATTTAGTGCTTTTAGAATGTGTTCAAACTTAAGTGACCATCAACTTAATATAGACTGCTATATGCAGATGTTATATGTAAACCTAATGGTAACCAAAAATCAAAAACCTGTAATACATACATAAAAATAAAGAGAAAGGAATCCAAACATATCACAAAAGAAAGCCATCAAACCACAAAGGCACAGAGCAAAGGAATAAGAAAGGAACAGAGAAGAACTACAAAAACAAATGTAAAACAAGTAGCAAAATGGCAATAAGTACATACCTATCAATAATTACTTTTTTTCAATAATTACTTTTTTTCAATAATTACTTTAAATGTAAATGGACTAAATACTCTAATCAAATGACATAGAGTGACTCAATGGATAAAAAAGCAAGACCCTATCTATATGTTGCCTATAAGAGACTCACTTCAGACGTAGACACATGCAGATTGAAAGTAAAGGGATGGAAAAACATTTACCATGCAAATAGAAGTGGAAAAAAAGCTGTGGTAGCAATACTTATACTGGACAAAATAGACTTTAAAACAAAATCTATAAGAAGAGACAAGGATAGTACATAATGATAAAGGGAACCATCCAATAAGAGGATATAACAACTGTAAATATGCACCTAATATGGGAGTACCTAAATACATAAAGTAACCATTGATTGACATAAAGGAAGAAATTGACAGTAATACAATAATAGCAGGGGACTTTAACCCCTACTACATCAATGGATAGATCATGCAGACAGAAAATCAACAAGGAAACAGTGGCTTTGAAAGGACACATTGGACCAGATAGACCTCACAGATAAATTCAGAACATTCCATCCCCAAACAGTGGAATACACATTCTTTTCA